CAGCCCCGCGCCGGCTTTTGTTTCTATTTTAGTGTTGTTAAGGACTTTACCGGGAGAGCTCGCTCTCCCTCTCGCTCTCCCTCTCTAGCTGCAACAACAACAACAAAAAATAAGGACCGACTGTCTCCCCTCCGCAGACCGGGAGTCCCAGGAGCCGCGAACTGCCTCTTTTTTTTTCCTTTTTTTTTTCCTTCATTTTTTTTTAAATTCCAGAACAAGTTCCGCTGTTTTTCGGCTTTTTGTTGGTTTTGATTTGTTCGGTTTTGATTTTGATTTTCCTTCCTCTACCAGAGACTCGAGTGAATTCACGGACCAGGGAGGAAAAAAAAAAGCCCTAAAAACAAACAAACAAAAAACAACCCACGCTTTTTTTTTTTTTTTTTGGAAAGGGAATCCCTCTTTTTCTCCTGGATTTGTGGATGCACCGATGAGAGATCCAGCCTTCCCGGGGACTGCAATGGCTTACCACCCCTTCCACGCACCCAGGCCGGCCGACTTCCCCATGTCTGCTTTCCTAGCAGCCGCCCAGCCCTCGTTTTTCCCCGCTCTGGCTCTGCCGCCGGCGGCGCTGGCCAAGCCCATGCCGGACCCCAGCCTGGCCGGGGCGGCCGAGGCCGGGTTGCACGTCTCGGCGCTCGGCCACCACCACCAGGCCGCCCATCTGCGCTCCCTCAAGAGCCTGGAACCGGAGGAGGAGGTGGAGGACGACCCCAAAGTGACGCTGGAAGCCAAGGAGCTTTGGGACCAGTTCCACAAGCTGGGCACCGAGATGGTGATCACCAAGTCGGGAAGGTAGGAGCCGGCCCCGCACCTGCGGGACCCCGCGGCGCCCCGCGCTCCCTGGCCCCGGCCTCCCGCCCGGCTCCCTTCTCCCACCGCGGTGCTTTAACCCCGGGCGGCAACACCGGGATTTTCTGTATCTCGAGTTTCCCGTGTGCTTTTCTCCTCCTCTTCCAGCTCCTCCTGTACCGCAGTTATGACTTTTAATTTTTTCCCTTTTAAGTGCGATCTCGAATTAAAATTTCACCCAACAATTTAACTCTACTAAATCCCCGATTACACGTGTTTCCATTTCTCCACGCAGAATTTCATTCCCCATCTCCAAACTTTCCCCCCCAGGCCGCC